TTTCCTGAGCCAGCCTCAGTCTCACTTCTCTAAAACACCTCCAGTGGTGGAGACTCTGCTCCAGAGCTTCCCCAGCCTTATTTCAGCTGCCATCTGGGATTTTTCCACCTCCTTAGTGCAGGTTTCCATGCTGCACTTCAAGCTCGTGTCTTACTGAGGGAAAAACAATCAGAAAAGATGATTATTCCCTACTTACCTGCATCAGCCTTGATGTTTTACACCTGGGAATGCAGGCCAAAGCATGCCCAGTGCCCCTTTGTTGTGAAGGACAAACATTTCATTTTTTGGAGGTCTTCTGGCTTGATTTTGGGGGTTTTTTTTGTGTATTAAAATCTACTCATTCTGAATCACTGACAAGAATTCTTCCATCACCCCTTCAGAAGTCACCTTGGCTCTGCAGGGAGCTGGTGATGAGGTGGTTCTGCTGCCCTGTGAGCCCTGCAGTGCATTCCTGAGCCCAGGAATCTCAGCTGGATTCCTCAGCCCTGCCTCCAGAGCAGGGGAAGGAGAAGGTGCAGGAGTATCTGCCACCATCAGCAGGATGGTGCTCAGCACAGCTTGCTCTGGTTTCCCCCAGTGCTGATGGAAACCAACTCCTCTGGAGGAGCTGGACATCCACAGCCAAGAATGTCCAGTGGAAAATTCCCCTTTTTGAGCCTTTTCCATTTGGTGCTGAAACAGGGGCTGAGGGACTGCTGAGGTGGCTCACTCCTGGCCCTGCAGTGCTCACAGCTTGCAGCACTTAGGCCTTTGGTGCCCAAGAAACCAGAGCACAAAGAGTCAGCCTTGGCCTCTGGAGCCAAGGATCCCCAAGAGCAGCAGCAGTCGAGGTTCTGGGCTTTCATCCAGGCTTTCATCCAGGCTTTCATCTGGGTTTTCATCTGGGTTTTCATCTGGGTTTTCATCTGGGTTTTGCCTTGCTCCAAACCAGACAATGTCCTGTGCTCTCTGAGGGGCTCCAAGGTGATGGCTCCAGTCCTTGTGCATTTTCCATTTTGTGACATAGACGAACTGCCAAGAGCAACAGTTCTGTGCTGCTTCATGACCCCAGACTTGTGTCCCCACTCCTCCTCCATCCCAGCAATGTTCCTTGGGACATCTCATCCTACAGAGCCATAAACTCCCCTTAGGGGACATCTCCACTCTTAGGTTCTTCCCTCAAGTGCTGAGCAGTTCCCACCATCCCCAGGTGCCTGGAGCTGGCTCCTCACCCCTGCTGAGCACAGGAGGGGCTTTTTGGGGGCTCCATGGTGGGGAAGCAAAGGCACAGCCTGGCTGCCTCTTCCTGGGAGCCCGTGGGCACGGTCTGTGCTGCTCTGTGTGTGATCCGTGCCCTCTGCTGCTGTCCCTGCCAGGCAGGAGCTGCTCTGAGCAGCCCCAGGTTCCAGTGGGCTCCCATCCCCTGCCTGCCCCGTTCCTCACAGCCCCACTCCACTTTCTGTGCACAAATGCATTTCCCAAAGACTCGAGAAGTTGGTTTGGGGTTGGTTTGGTTTGGGTTTTTTTTGTCTAATGGATTTCCTGTTTTTAATACAATTGAAAGGGTCTGAAATCCACGCTTTAGATTAACATATGCCAGCTAGATTAGGGCTAATCAGGGCGCAGGTCTGAGCAGATGCAGCGCGGGGCCAATCCCAGACCTGATTACAGCATCTCAGTGCTCTAATCGTCTCTCTCCCAAGGGCGATCAGCCCTGCTCTAATGCACAGCAGACTTTGCAGCCCTCTCTGCTCTGGTTTGTCACCACCCCTGGCAGGAAGGGCCACCACGTCATCTGCTGAGGCGATTTGCGCTAATCCCGCGCAGAGCAGAGCGGGATCCGCGCCGTGCCGCCTCTCACCGAGGCTTCCCGGAGCTCCCAGAGCTGCCCAGGCTGGGCCAAGCCCTGGCTGAACCAACTCACCCTTCCCAAGCACCTCCCAGGCCTCTCCAGTGCCTGGTTTTGGCGCGTTTGGGCAGCTCGAGCATCGTGTGCTCCGTGTCCCACAGGGTGGTGGTGGTGGCTCTGCTCCCTGGGCTGTCCGTGCTTGATCTCCTCTGGGTTAACAACCCAAGTCACCCAAAGAGCTTAGTTGGCTTCTTGGTCTGGAGCAGGGATTTGAGGTGCATGCCAGGCCAGAGCTCCAGCTCGTGCCTAAACTGGGATGGGCTGTGTTCCCTGAGGGGTCTGCTCGGAGATTTCCCCCAGCAGGGCTGAGCCTGAGCTCTGGTTGCTCATTTCTGCTGTTCCTGAAATTCCCACTGACCAGAGGGAGCTGGGAGGCTCCTCCTGGCTCTGTGCCCCTGTGGGAGCTGGTGCTGAGCAGCCAAGCAGGGAAGCAGCTCCTTGGCTGGGCTGGGAGGGTGGCCAGGACCCCTCAGGCTGGGGGATCAGGAACATTCCCAGCCCCAGAGCCCGAGGGAGGGCGGAGACAGCGCCGGGGTCACCCACCTGGTCAGCATGATTACCTCCTAAGCTTTCCTGTCTGCACACAGAGTTATCCAAGGACACAGAGCTGCCTCTGTTACCAAACCAGTGCCCTTGGTGGGGCAGGGCTCTGCTCCTGCTCCTCAGCCCAAAGGGATTGTGCTGCTTTTTCAGGAAAGCCTCGCTCGGGAGCCTGGGCAGGGCTGCCCATCCATCCATCCCTCCCATGCTGCTGCTGCTGCTGGAAGCATTTGCTCACCTCAAAAAACTGGTTTTTCCCCCAGCAGAGCTGTGGGTAGTTTCTGAAATGTCTAAATTATCTCGCTTGTCCAAATCCCCCTTGGCCAAGCCAAAGGTGGAGGTGGGCGCAGGGATAACACCGGGGTAGAACGATGGAGTTTCTCCTGCCAGCCTGCGGGATTTGCCATCCCCCTGCCCTGCCCAGCTCTATTGAGAGCTCATTGCTATTTTTTGCACCTCTTTCCGCCGTTCACATCACAGTGACCCTCAGGGGCCCCGTTGTTTTGCTGTCACCTTGGTTGGTGTTTCCTGGCTCACCAGGACTCACCCTTGGCACTGCGGCGTTTTCCTGCCAGCCCGAAGCTTTGCCAGCTCCATCCTCAGCCTGGAGGCCTCTGATCCATTCCTGCAGCCTTGGGAAAAGCTGTTCCTACTTTGCTGGACCCATCCATGGTTGGGGAAGGGCTGGGAAAGGGGAATTGCTTTCCTGTCTCTGTTCTGTGTGTCACACACACACTGTGAGAGCCTGGGGCAGTGCCCAGGGCTTGCTGCCCTTTCCCTGTGGGGGCAGAAGGACCTGGCTGGGATGGGGAGGGAGCAGAAGGAAGGGAATTGTGTTGGAGAAGGTTGTAATGGGGTTCATGGATGCACAGCAATGGGATCCTCTCATGTGCCACCAGTGGGTGACTGCAGAGTTACAGGGGATGGGAGAAGCCAAATTTATCCCTTCCTCAGCCCCACAGTTCCCAGTTCTGGGCATATCAAGTGGAAAACACATGTGGGGAGTGTGTTCCTCCTCAGTGGGGGATCCCTGGTGGGCTGTGGGGTGGGTGGGAGCAAGCCCTGCTCCAGGAAAGCTCAGCCTGATGGGTTTGGCTGAGCAGCTCCCTCTGTACCACCCCAAACATGGCTGGGCTGGGTTCCTCCTCCAGAAATGATGTTATTTCTTTGCTCCTCATCCTTATTCCCTCCCTGGAGCTGTACAGCCCCGGGGTGTGGGCCCCAAGGTGCTGTCACCCACCTCAGCCCCATCCATCCCTGTTCCCATCCCGCTGGCTCCAGGGAGGGCAGATCCAGCTCAGCGAGGGCACCAAGGCACAGAGCATCCACCCAGCCTGGGCACAGCTGGGGGCACTTCCTGAAGTTCTAGAGTCCTGAAGTTCCTTCCTGATTGCTGCTTTTCATGGACAGAGTCATGGCATGGTTTGGGTGGGAAGGAACTTTAAAGATCATCCAGTTCCAACCCAAACCATGGGCAGGGACACCTTCAGATATCCCAGGGTGCTCCAAACCCAACTTCCAACCTTGGGCACTGCAGGGATCAGGGGCAGCCCCAGCTGCTCTGGCAATGCCAGCCCAGGCAGGAATTGCTCATTGCCAAGATGCCATCCATGGCTGCCCTCTGGCAGTGGGAGCCATTCCCTGGGTGCTGTCCCTGCAGGCCTTGTCCCCAGTCCCTCTGCAGCTCTGCTGGAGCCCCTGCAGGCCCTGCCATGTGCTGGGAGCTCTCCCTGGATCCCTCCCTGCTCCAGGGGAACATTCCCAGCTCTCCCTGGATCCCTCCCTGCTCCAGGGGAACATTCCCAGCTCTCCCTGGATCCCTCCCTGCTCCAGGGAACATTCCCAGCTCTCCCTGGATCCCTCCCTGCTCCAGGGGAACATTCCCAGCTCTCCCTGGATCCCTCCCTGCTCCAGGGGACATTCCCAGCTCTCCCTGGATCCCTCCCTGCTCCAGGGAACATTCCCAGCTCTCCCTGGATCCCTCCCTGCTCCAGGGAACATTCCCAGCCTGGCTCCAGAGCAGAGGGGCTCCAGCCCTGCAGCAGCTCTGGGGCCTCCTCTGTGCTCCCCCAGCAGCTCCAGGTGCTCACAGGGTTGAGAATCCCCCTCCAAGTGGGAGAGCTCCAAAGAACCCCCCAGAGCAGCCCCCACACCCTGGGCACCGCCCATGGCACTGTCCCCACACCCATGGGCACCTCCCAGGGCTGTGTCCCCACACCCATGGGCACCTCCCATGGCCCTGTCCCCACACCCATGGGCACCTCCTGTGGCTCTGTCCCCACACCCATGGCACCTCCTGTGGCCCTGTCCCCACACCCTGGGCACCTCCCATGGCCCTGTCCCCACACCCTGGGCACCGCCCCTGGCCCTGTCCCCACACCCATGGGCACCTCCTGTGGCTCTGTCCCCACACCCTGGGCACCGCCCATGGCACTGTCCCCACACCCTGGGCACCTCCCATGGCTCTGTCCCCACACCCTGGGCACCGCCCATGGCACTGTCCCCACACCCTGGGCACCGCCCATGGCCCTGTCCCCCCTGCTGACCGCGCTGGTGTCCCTTTGTCCCGCAGGGCTGGTGCAGATCCCGGTGAGCATGTACCAGACGGTGGTGACCAGCCTGGCGCAGGGGAACGGCCCGGTGCAGGTGGCCATGGCGCCGGTGACCACGCGCATCGCGGACACGGCCGTCACCATGGACGGGCAGGCCGTGGAGGTGGTGACCCTGGACCAGTGACCCCGGAGCGGCCCCCGGCCCTGCCCAGCCTCCTCCTCTGCAGATTTTTTACGCCTCTCCAGAGATGCAATCAGGTGGCATTTTGAGTCTCCCGGCTTTGGAAACAAAACTTTTTTTTTTTTTTTAATTTTTTTTTCTCTCTTTTTTTTTTTTTTTTTTAAATCGAGAAAACTAGAAAAAAAAACCACAAAAAAACCAACCAAATCCTGGCGGAGGATGTGTGTAAAGTGCATTTTTCTAGCGCCACTCTGCTCTCGGAGGAATGAGAAGCCAAATTGTGACGGGACTTTGATTCTGAGGAGGTTGGAAAGAAAAGGAAAAGAAAAATAAAGCGACCCTTGATGCCCCGTTTTCCCCCACGTGGGATCGAGCAGGAGGAGGCTGGGGGGCAGCACGGACACCCTCGGCCAGCACCGACCTCGACAGCAAATTAGGTATCAAAGATTTTAATATGGACTTTTATATTCTGAAAAACCCACCCTGGATACACAAACAAAACAGAAAAAAAAAACAAACCAACAAACCACAAAAGGAAAAAAAACAAACAAAAAAAAAGCTTGGGGAAAAAAAGAAAAAAAAAAAAGACTCCTGGGAAGGAAGAAAAAAAAAAAATTGAAAAAAAAATGAAATGCATGTGTGACTGCAGGGGGGTGGATGGAGACCTCCCGAAGGGATGGATGATGCTCTTCCAGGAGCCTGCCGCAGGATCCGCGCCCGCTGGGCTCCCTTGGTGCACACTGGAGACCTGTTCCTACTTCTCTGCTCTCGTACCTGCCATTTTACATCCTCGGGGTTGTTTTTTTTTTTTTTCCTTTATTATTATTATTATTGTTGATGTTGTTGTTATTGTTATTATTATTTCGTGGCTCTAGACTGGAGCGGAAGCGCCTCTAAAGGGGCTCTGGCTGTGTCCCCCCCCTTTTCTCCCACCACATTCCTGGGATTTCCCTCAAAAGGAGCCACCTTGGGCTCGCCCCATTCCCAGCCCCAGCTCTCCCCCTGCAGATCCTACAGGAAAAGCTTTGCCTGAGGGGGGATGCGAGCGAGACCCTTCCCTTTGGGGGCCCCTCTTGCCCCCAGCCCTGCCCCAGCCTGGTCCTGCCCTGTGCCTCTCCCAGCACGGTTTTAACCCCAAAATCCTTCCCAGGAGGGTTCCAAAAGCCTTTGGGGTGGGGTGGGGGTGTTTTTGGGGGGCAGATTTTACTCAGCATCCCCATGGGCCAAACCCTGGTGCCCAACCAAGCCCCTTCCCCCCCTGCAAGCACTTCCCGTGGGATTTCATTTTTGGGGTTATTTTGGGGGGTTTTTTATTCTCATTTCCACGTGGCCGTTCAAGTTCTCCACGTCTCGCTCTGCCTTCGAGGGAGTTTTCAGATTCTTGTATTTACTTGTTTTATATGGGAGAAAAAAACAAAAACCCACAAAAAACAAACCTATCCAATGTTCTTTGTATACAGTTCTTGGGTCCTTTTTCCGAGGGGAGGGAGATCTTTCCATAGAGACAGTCCTGGTTCTCCAATCCATGACGTTTTTTGGGTTTGGTTCTTTTTCTAATGATTATTTTTTTATCGTCGTTGTGAAGATGTCGGTGGCTTTCCAAGTCAGTGTTTCTTTGGCGATGAAATGAGGTTCTTTTAGTCCTCCCACCCCCCCAAAAATAAAGAGACAAAAACCAGGCAAATAGCAGAGCATGGACCCCCCCCTTGTTTTCCCAGTGTCTATTATTGCCTCATTCAATAAATTGTTACAAATGTGTCTACCCAGTGTCCAACTCTCCTGTTTTGGGGGGACTTTGGGGAATATTTGGGAATATTTGCCATCCCTCCCTTCCTGGCGGGAGTTTTGGGCTTTGGTCCCTCCCCTGTCCCGTGTTGGGGCTGGAGAGGAGAAGCTGAGCATCACCTCATGGTGATGGTTTTGGGGTTTAACCCTTTTTTTTGGTGCAATTTATCTCATTTTCATCTTCCAGCATCAGCCTTGGGGCTGCTGGAGCATCCCCCCCATGCTGAGCTGCCTTTTGGGGTGAATTCCTCCATTTCCAGCCCCGTCTCGCCCCCAGGGCCGATGGTTTTTTGGGATGCAAACCCAAGGAGGAGGCAGGAAACGCAGGGATGGGTTTGAGCAGCTTTATTGAAGGATGGTTCTGGATCCAGGGAATCCTGCAGGGCTCCTGGGTGGGAGGAAGAGCAGGAGAAGCTGGAAGGACAAAGAGAGGGAGGGAAGGAGCAGTGGGGCCGCTTCCCTGGGGATGCTGCCAGCAATTCCCAGGAGCTGGAGCGGATCCCTGGGACATGGAAGGTGCTGGGAGGGTGACCTGGGGCTTTGGGGACCTCTGGGGACCCCAGGACATCCCATGGCCCCAAAGGGTGCAGCAGCAGGGCCGGGGGAGGCGGCTCGGGCTGGCAGACGCTGCTGGGAGGGTTTAATCTTCATTAATCGGCCTTAATCAGCAGCAGGGCCCCTGCTGGGGCAGCTCTGCAGCCCCCAGCACCAACAGCCTCCAGCCCAAACTGGGAGAGACTGGGGGGGCTGGAACCTGCACCAGTAACCCCAACCCCATACTGGGAGAGACTGGGGGGGCTGGAACCTGCACCAGTAACCTGCACCCCATACTGGGAGAGACTGGGGGGGCTGGAACCTGCACCAGTAACCTGCACCCCATACTGGGAGAGACTGGGGGGGCTGGAACCTGCACCAGTAACCTGCACCCCATACTGGGAGAGACTGGGGGGGCTGGAACCTGCACCAGTAACCTCCATCCCATACTGGGAGACACTGGGGGGGCTGGAACCTGAGCCAGTAACCCCAGCCCCATACTGGGAGAGACTGGGGGGGCTGGAACCTGCATCAGTAACCTCCATCCCATACTGGGAGAGACTGGGGGGGCTGGAACCTGAACCAGTAACCTCCATCCCATACTGGGAGAGACTGGGGGGGCTGGAACCTGCACCAGTAACCTCCATCCTGTACTGGGAGAGACTGGGGGGGCTGGAACCTGCACCAGTAACCCCAGCCCCATACTGGGAGAGACTGGGGGGGCTGGAACCTGAACCAGTAACCTCCATCCCATACTGGGAGAGACTGGTGGGGCTGGAGCCTGAACCAGTAACCTCCATCCTGTACTGGGAGAGACTGGGGGGGCTGCACCCATTCCCTGCCCCCTTTGCATTGGGGGGGCCTTTGTGTGGATTTTCTGCCTCTACCCACCCCCAGGGAGGGCCCTGAATTACAAAATGTGGCCCCAAATTGGAGGATTTGACCCCAAAAATGGAGGTGGACGCTCAGGGTGAGCCCGGCTGCTGCAGCTGGGAAGGGCCAGGATGAGGGGGGGTCCTGGGGGGCTCCCCCAGAGGGAGCAGATCCTGGGAATGCTGACCCTGGGAATGCTGACCCTGGGAATGCTGACCCTGGTGGGACCGGCTGCACCTTGGGGCGGGGCCTCTGGGGAGGGGCGGAGCTCCTGGGGGTGTGGTCAGGGGTGGGGCTGGGGAGGCTCCACCCCCTGACCCCCCCAAATCCTGCCCCGGCAGGGCAGGGCCCGCTCTGAGCGAGGGTGGGGTTAAATCAGCACTGGGGGAGGGAGGGACGGACAGACAGACAGACAGACAGACAGGGATGGATGGATGGATGATGGATGGATGGATGGATGGATGGATGGATGGATGGATGCATGGATGCATGGATGGATGGATGATGGATGGATGGATGATGGATGGATGGATGGATGGATGGATGATGGATGGATGCATGGATGGATGGATGATGGATGGATGGATGGGGGATGGATGGATCCACGCGTGGACAGACAGACAGACAGGGGATGGGTGTCCGTACAGCCAATGGATGTGGCTGCAGGAGTACACACACGTTGGGCGTTTGTTACCTGGACGAGCAGACGGATGAACGACCAGACAGACACACGGACACCCTGTGCCCCCACAGCCCCCACCACCCCCAGCAGGGCCATGGGGACCCCCACCCGTCCGTCTGTCCGTCCCTCCCTGCCCCCAGCCCGGGCAGGATGATTGGAGCCTGCCCTAATCCAGCGTGATCCAATCTCCGTGGGCTAATGCCGAAAGCTCCGTAATCACCAGCGCTGCCCTACATTCCCTGCACATCCAGCACAGGGGTGGGCACAGCCCCCACCCAGCACAGCCCCAGCCCCCTCCCCTCATCCCCCTGTCCCTGAGAGCTGCCACCATCCCTGTGCCACACCTGGGGACAGGCAGGGGACACGGGGCAGCTGCCACCGCCCGCTGCTGCTTCAAACGTGCCTCAGTTTCCCCCCTGCACGGGGATGGCGTGGGGTGGGATCCAGGAACAGGGGTGGGATCCAGGAGCGAGGATGGGATCTAGGAACAGGTGTGGGATCCGGGAGCAGGGGTGGGATCCGGGAGCAGGGGTGGGATCCGGGAACAGGAATTGGATCCAGGGCTGGGGCAGGGTTGGTGGCCTGACCCCATCCCCGCAGGGCCCTGCGCAGACCAGGGCTGGATCAGCCCTTGAGCCCGGAGTCACACCGGGACACGCGGCCACGCTGCTCCAATGACCGGTGTCCCACAGATCCCGGTTCCCCCCTGCCATGGAGATGGGCTGGGGTGCCAGACCCCCCTCTGGGGCTGGGGGGTGGCCCAGCATCCCTATCCTCCCAAACCACGTGTGCAGGGCACCCACAGCATCCCCCAGATCCACGCGGATGGAGCAGGGCCCTCCCCAGACCCCACAGCAGAGCCCTGGGGGTGCCAGGGGGTTCCAGGAGACACCAGGGGACACCAGGGGACACCAGAGGACACCAGGGGACTGTCATGTCTGTGGCAGTGCCCCGGGGCCGTAGTTGGCAAGTCTAGAACCACCGGATCCTGCTACCGCACCAGTGTGAGTTCTACCATTGCCAAAGGCAGCCCCGGGGCAGCCAGGCCCAGCCTGGGGACAGCCGGGGACAGCGGCCACCGAGCCGGGCCTGGAGAGCTGCAAAAAACAGGAAAAATTCATCATTTCACCCATGGGGCCAGAAAACCCCACACGGGGCTCCAGATCCCCCCGGGGAGGGGGACAGGAGGTGCAGGGTCCATCCTGCTCGTGGTGGCCACCACAAGGACATGGCCTGGCCGAGGTGTCCCCGTGGGCTGGGACACCTCGTTGGCATGGACACCCCCTCAGCATCACCACGTTGGCATGGACATCCCCTCAATGTCACCAAATTGGGATGAACACCTCCTCAATGTCACCACGTTGGGATGGACACCCCCTCAATGTCACCACCCTGGGATGGACACATCCTCAATGTCACCACGTTGGGATGGACACCCCCTCAATGTCACCGTGTTGGGATGGACACGTCCTCAATGTCACCATGTTGGGATGGACACGTCCTCAATGTCACCATGCTGGGATGGACATGTCCTCAATGTCACCACCTTGGGATGGACACGTCCTCAATGTCACCACATTGGGATGGACACCCCCTCGGTGTCACCATGCTAGGATGAACACCTCTTCAATGTCACCATGGCGTGGGTGGGATGGACACCCTCTCAGTGTCACCGTGTTGGGATGGACACGTCCTCAATGTCACCATGTTGGGATGGACACGTCCTCAATGTCACCATGCTGGGATGGACATGTCCTCAATGTCACCACCTTGGGATGGACACGTCCTCAATGTCACCACGTTGGGATGGACACACCCTCGGTGTCACCACGCTGGGATGGACACTCCCTCAGTGTCACAGTGTCACCACGTTGGGATGGATACCCTCTCAGTGTCACCATGTTGGGATGGACACATGGACACCTTCAGGGTCACCACATTGGGATGGACACCCCCTCAGTGTCACCATGTTGCCATGAACACCCCCTCAGTGTCACCACATTGGGATGGACACCCCCTTGGTGTCACCACGTTGGGATGGACACCCCCTTGGTGTCACCGTGTCACCACAGCGTGGGTGGGATGGACAAACACCCCTCCCTCATCCCAGCAATTCCAGAGGCGTTCCCAGCCCCCCATCCCAGCATTCCCACCCCAATCCCCGGCGCTGCTCCGTCCCCGTTGCTGCTCTCCCCGCCCTCTCCCATATTGGCACTACACATAATTGCTCAAAAGCTACAAATCAAAGCAAAAATGTGCTAGTGCCAAAACGGGCCAGGCGGCGTCGGCGACGGCCCCGCGGCGCCCGCGGGTCTTTCTCTGCTCTGTTTATGGCCCTATGGTAATTCACTGACCGCGGGGTTGCACAGTGAATTCTACCAGTGCCATACACAGAACAGGAGTAGCGAGCTCGCACCTGCCCCTTTTCCCCTGGATTTCCACCCAAATCCGCCACCAGCAGGAGCCCGACGCCCCCGGAGCGGCGGCAGGAAAAGGGGAATTGATTGTTATTGATTGGCAAAGTGATTTGGGAATGGCTGAGCGAGGGGAGATGCTCACCCTGGTGGGGAGGATCCGGGCCCCAGCTCAGCTGGGGGATTTTTTGGGATGGGGATGCTGGAAGCCATTTCCCAGCCACTGCACTTCCAGGGTTATCCGGGAATCCCAGCCCCAGGTTTGCCACCCCCCGGGAAGGCTGCAGACCCCTGAAATGGTCCCAGACCCCCAAAATGTGCCAACCTCCCCCCGATGGCCACAAGCCCCCCAAAACGGTCCCAGATCTCAAAATGTTGCAAAGTTTCTGGGTGGTTCCCCAACCCCCAGAACGCCGCAATCCCTCCAATTAATTCCAAACTGTCCAGACGGCTGCAGCCCCCATAAAATGCTTCAACCCCCCAAAAGGTTGCAACCCCCATGGATGACTGAAAGCCCCCCAAAATTTGCAGCTCCTCTGGATGGCTGCAAGCCCCCAGAAGGTTAAAACCCCTCTGGATGGTCACAGACACCCCCAAAATGTTGTAACCTCCCCTGGATGCTTTTGAAGCATGCAGATAAACTTGAATTCCCCTCCAAAAAAAAACTCCTGCAACCCCCTGAAAGGTTACAAACCCCCTGAATGGCAGAACCCCCAAAAACATTTGAGAAGAATTTTGATGGCTTTGGACCCTCCAAAACTGCAACACCCCAAAAAGGATGCAGATCTCCAGGATGGCTGCAAACCCCCAGATGGCTGCAAGCCCCCCAAAATGCTGAACCACCCCCCCAATGGCTGCAAGCCCCCCAAATCTTGCAGACCCCCATTGCTGCTGAAGATCCTCCCAAAGCTCGAGCCCACCCAAGAGGATGCAGATCCCCTCGAGTGGTTGAGACCCCTGGATGGCCGCAGGACCCCCAGAAATTTCCAACCCCCTCAGATGGTGGCACAGCCCCCCGGATGGAGCAGACCCCGGCTGGCAGCGACACCGTCCCCAGGGCCGCGGCGGCCGTGCCGCAGGAGGAGGAGGAGGAGGAGGAGGAAGGCACAAAGTCTCCTTTGTGTGGCAAAGCCGAGGCCCCGGCGAGCCCAGAGGGCCGGGATGAGCTCGGGGTCCCCGGATGCGGTGCTGGGAGCTGAACCCCCTCGAGGACACAGCCCCCGGCCCCTCACACCCCATCCGGCCTCGAATTTGGGGACAAAGAGGGGCAGCGACCCTCGCTGGGCTCGGCCACCCCCGCGGCGTGGCAGTGTCACACACGGAGGGGTCAGCGCCAGCAGGGACAGAGCTGTCCCCAGCCCACACCCACCTCTGGGGCTCCAGCAGCAACACCCCCAGGATTCACCCAAAACTCCTGGAGAAACCCCAAAACCCTGTGGGGCTCGGCCAAGCAACCCAAGGGGAAGAGGAGAAGAGAAGCCCCCATGACCACAGCTCGGTCCTCACCTGGGGGACACCGCCCTGGCGCCGTGGTGGCCTGGGGACAGGGGGACAGCAGGGACAGGGTCCTGGGGGACGCAGCCAGGCCGAGCCCGTGGCCATCCTTGGCCATCCTTGGCGCGACTTTGGGCGACGCCTTGGCCCCGATCCGGCCCCGGCCGCCCGCGTGGCCCCGGCACCGCGCCAGGCGGGACCCGGGCACTGCCCCCGGCCTTGGGGTGCCCCCTTTGTCCCCGTGCCCCTTTGTCCCCGTCGCCCGCCCCCGCCCCGGCCGCTGCGGCACCGGGCTGGGCTGAGGCGGCCCAGCCCCTCTGCGGAGCCGCCGTGACGTGCGAGGCCGGAGCTGCCGCATTGCGGATGGGCCCCCCCGGCCCCCCCGGCCCCGCTCCCGCTGCCCCTCCGGGGACCCACACCTCCAGCTGGGGACAGCGGGGTCCCCTGGCCACCACCCGGGGCCAAAACGCCGTCCCCAGAGCCAAAAGGCCACCGGAGCCACCGGCGGAGCCACCTGCGATGCTCACGGCACCGGCTGCACCAAGATGGTGCCCGGGCACGGCCCTGGCACGGCGAGGGACGGGGACATGGTGGTGGCTCCTGGATGGGGCTGCCCTGCCATGGGGACACTGCGGGTGGGCACCAGACCGGCCTCGACACCCTGAAACCGGGGCTGGATCCATGGGAATGGGCAGGTGGGGATGGATGGGGACAGGGACAGGATGGGGATGGGGACAAGATGGGGACAAGGACAGGGAGGGGGAAAAGGACAGGGACAGGGATGGGGAATGGGATGGGGATGCGGACAAAGACAAGAACAGGGACAAGATGGGGATGGGGACAGGGATAAGATGGGGATGGCATGGGGATGGAGATGGGGACAAGGACAGTGACAAGATGGAGATGTCATGGGGACAAGGACAAGGACAGGGACAAGATGGGGATGGGGACAGCGGCAGGGATGGGAATGGGGACGCGGATGGAGATGGTGGGGATGGGGATGAAGTGTGGGACAAGGAGAAAGAGGAGAAGGAGAAGAGAAGGAGAAGGAGACAGGGATGGGCATGGGGATGGGGACAGGGACAGATAAAGATGGGCATGGAAACGGGACAGAGACAGAGACAGTAATTTTTCAGGGCTAGAGACGAGGAAGGGGATGCGGCTTGAGCTGGGGACAGGGATGGAGACAGAGCAGGACACGGACGGGGACAGTGACGGAGCAGCCGGGAGCTCCATGCCGGGCTGAACCGGGCCGGTTTGTGCCGCAGTGCCCGCAGAGACACCGGGCACGGCCCCCGCCCAGCGCCCGCGGACGCCTCCTCACCCCAGAGCAGCCCCAGCCCCGGGCAGGACCCACCCGGGCACCCCGACCGAGGTTTGGGGTCCCCAGACAGGGCTGGGGGACAGCCCGAGCCCCCCGCAGCACCGGGCGGGCAGGGGGTGCGCGCCGGGGATCGGGGGGCTCGGACAGCCCCCCAAAGCAGCCCCGCCGTGTTCCGGGCCGCCGCCGAGCCGGGCTTTCGTTAGCGGCACAATTCGGGCCGGCGGAGCCGCCCCCGGGGCTGCAGAGCGGGCACGGAGCGCACCGGGGGCGGGGGGGGCACCCCGGGACCCCCAGAGAGCCCCCCCCGGGCCGGGGGCCGCGGGCGGTGGGGCCGCCCCCCGATCTCGTTGTCACCCGCGGCGCCCCCGGGACGGGAGCGCGGCGCCACCGCCCCGACGGGAGACGGGCGAGGTTCGGGGGGCCCGGGCGGGATGGGGGGCGCCGGGAGCGGGGGAGGCACGGGGGGCGCAGCCCGGAGGGTTCGGGGACCCTCCCGTCGAGGAGAAGCGGGACGGGGGGAGCGCAGCGCCGGGCTCGGGGCCCGCCGGGAGCGGGAGCGGGAGCGGGGGGGGAAGGGAGCGGTTCAAGGGGGCTCCCCGAGCCCCGGGGGGGTCCCGGCAGGACCCGACCCCCCCCGGGCCCGAGGGCAGCACTTACCTGAGCTGCCATCGCTGCCTCCGCTGCGGGCGGCCCGACGGGGGGCTCCCCGCGGGGCGGGGGGCACGGGCGGGCACGGACGGACACGGGCGGGCACGGACGGACACGGGACCCCCCCCCGGCACCCCGCACATCCCCGGGGGGGCCCCGCCGCGCCCGCGGCCCCGGCGCTCGCACAAGTGGCGGGGAGCGGCGGCGGCGGCGGCCTTAGCCCGGCCGGGGGACCCCCCCTGCGGCTCCCAATTGGCCCAGGTGCCCCGGAAGGTGGAGCCGGGCCCGGGGCGGGGAGGGGGGGACGGGCTCACCTTGGGCCGCCCCCCCTGCCCCGCTCCCCACCCCCGGGGCCGCCCCGCCGGGGCAGCGGCGCTGTCCGAGCCCCCGTTCGGCTCCGGGGGCGATGCCGGGACCCCCCCGGGCTGGGAGCGGAGCGGGGGCTCCGAGCAGGCGGAGCCGCCCCCGCTCCATCCAGCGCTGCCCGCGCTCCGCGGGGCGGAGGCGGCGCCCGCCCATCCCCGAGCCCCGGGGCGGCTCCGTCCGGCGGGCAGGGCCCGGGCACGGCTGAGCCCCGGCCGGCGCTTCCTTCCCTTGGGGGGGCATTTTTATAGCCGGGGCCGGCCCGCCCCGGGGCCGCCGTCGGGGCCGCTCACCGGCTGTCGGACACCGGAGCCGCGCACCTGAGCCGCCCCGACAGCGCCGATCCGGTTTCGGTTTCCCGCGGCCGAGACTCCCCCCAGTCCCCCCGCGGGCCCGGGGGGGCGAAGGAAACCGATCCCGACCCCCCCCGCACCCCCGGGCACCGCAACCCGAGAGGCGCAGCTGCCGCCGCCCGCCCCGAGGGGCTGGGGCGGGATGGGATGGGATAATGGGATGGGATCCATGGGATGGGATGGGATCCATGGGTTGGGATGGGATAATGGGGTGGGATCCATGGGATGGGATGGGATAATGGGATGGGATCCATGGGATGGGGTGGGATAATGGGGTGGGATCCATGGGTTGGGATGGGGGGCTCGGGGGGTGCGATCACTGCTGTGGGTCTGTGATGGATCCCGGGGGGTGGGAAGCGCTCTCGGTGGTCCCGGTGGTCTCGGGGTCCCCCCCGTGTCCCGGCGCTGCAGGGATGGGGCGCACGGAGCAGCCCGCCCCCATCCTGCTGAAATTATATCCCACCCCCCAAACTGCGTTTCTTGTCACCAGATTAAACCCAAATCACCCCCCAAACTCCCCAGCGCAATAACGCAGGTTGAAACCATCTGTAAAAAAATCTAAATAAACAAAAATACAAATTTATAAGGATAAAACTCTCTCGGGGGGGGTCAGTGCCGCCCCCCCGGGCAGGCCCGTGTGCAGCGCGGGCTCCGGCGCCGCAAACCAGCCCGACCAGTTTGGGGCCGGCCCCGCCGGGAGCGGGATCGGGTTGCGGGGCCGGGACGGAGGCGGGAGAAGCCATCGGGGCTGCCCGGGGGTTCTGTGGGGTGAAACCCCCCGGGCGTGGGGGGACAGGGGGGCTGGGCTGGGGGAACCCCCCCAGAGGGATGGAGGGGAGGGCAAGGACAGGAGGAGGGGCTGGGATGGGTGGGGGATTGGTGGATCCTGGGATTGGGATGCCCTTGGGATGCTGCTCTGTGGGGTGGGGCTGGGGAAAGGAGGGTCCTGGGATGGTCCCCAAACCCAGGGAGGTCCTGGAGCTCGGGGGCACCTCTGGGGGTCCCCAAGACCTGGCGTGGTCCCCCCGAGCCAGGGGTGGTCCCCAGGGGTGGCTGCCAGGCAGGGAAGCAGCTGGGATGGTCCCTGCATCCCATCAGAGGCTTCCCAGGATTCCAGGAGGGTCTCAAGCCCAGAGGGAGCCAGGATGGTCCCAAAGAGGGTCCCAGAGACCTCAAGACACTTCTGGAGCCTCCAGAATTATTCCCAAGGAAAGAACAACCCCAGATGGTCCCCAGAAGTCAGGATGGTCCTCAGGACCTCAGGATGGTGCCCAAGAGCCTGGGATGGTCCCTGAGACACCAGGATGGTTCCTGGCACCCCAAAACTGTCCCCAAGGTGGGAACCATCCCAGATGATCCCCAGAGACCAGGGTGATCCCTCCCCAAGATCCTTGGATGGTCTCCAAGCAAGAAAGAACCTGGAATGATCCCCAAGAGCCCGGGATGGTCCCTGAGACCCCAGGATGGTTCCTGACATTCCAAAACTGTCCCCAAGATGAGGGATGATCCCCCAAAACCAGGATGATCCCTCCCCAAGGTCCTTGGAAGGTCTCCAAGCAAGAAGAACCTGGAATGATCCCCAAGAGCCCGGAATGGTCCCTGAGTTCCTGAAATGATCCCCAAGAGCCTGGAATGGTCCCTGAGACACCAGGATGGTTCCTGGCACCCCAAAACTGTCCCCAAGGTGGGAAGCATCCCAGATGATCCCCAGAAACCAGGGTGATCCCTCCCCAAGGTCCTTGGAAGGTCTCCAAGCAAGAAAGAACCTGGAATGATCCCCAAGAGCCCGGAATGGTCCCTGAGTTCCGGGATGCCCCAGCTGAGGACGGTCCCCAAGCCAGGAGGCCCCTGGGGCGGTGCCCGTGCCAAGGGATGACCCCAAAGCCGGGACACGGTGCCAGCCCCAGCACGGTGCCAGCCCCAGCAGGGGATGGGGCCCTCACTCAGGCTCATCCCTCTCCTGGCATCTCCAACATTTCGGCTCCACCGAGGAGCCGCCGGAATTTCCCATTGGCCTCGTCCCGCGTAAGCCGAGCGGAGCCAACGGCCCTGTTTAAAAATTTACATCTCCTTCTTGTGTTCCTGGGCCCAGTCTGGGATGGATGGGCTGCAGGAGGCTCTGGGAAGGCGGAGGGGCCGGGCAGGGCAGCGCTCAGCGGGGCCGGGCTCGGGGATGGATGGATGGATGGATGGAAGGATGGATGATAAGGATGATGCAATATTGATGTGCAGGGAGCTGCATCAGCCAGGAAACCCTCCCAGGATGTTCCATGGCCAAATCCTCCCTGTTCCATGAGATCCTGGCTCCAAAATGGGGTGGAAGCTCAGGGAGAGGCAGGGGGGAGCCTGGGTCACCCTGGTGGGCACCACCCCAGGCTGGGATGAGCAGGGATGAGCAGGGATGAACAGGGATGAACATCCCATTCCTGTGGGTTGTGGTTTTTTGGTCTGGAGCTGTGGATTCGTCATCACCATGCTCAGGTGGGGAGAGGAAAATGGAATGAAGGGAGGAGTTGGGGGAAAAGAGCTAAAAATTGGGAATGAGGGAGAAAGCCTGGCTCTGAAAGGCTCAGAATCACCGGGTTTGGGGGAAATGGAGACATTTGTCACCAAACGTGCCCTGAGCTGGGAGTGTTCCCTGCAGGGGCACTCCTGGGATGTGACAGGGCCAGTGGGATCCATCTGGGAAGGTCCATCCTGGTCCAGTCCCACCATTCCAGCCGGGCACACACACGTGTCCCACAGGTCATGGCTCGCTCCGTTGGCACATCCTGAGCTGGAATTGGAGTCTGGATGGAGGAGGAGGGAGCCAAACCCTTCCCCACAGCCCGAGATGGAGCCAAACCCTTCCCCACAGCCCGAGATGGAGCCAAACCCTTCCCCACGGCCCGAGATGGAGCCAAACCCTTCCCCACAGCCCGCTGCCCCTCCTGCCCTTCCCAGGGTGGGATGGGGCCGTGTCCCTCGGGAATGTCATGCATTAGTAATGGCCACCGATCCGATCCGCCCGCGCTGACGGCATTTCTTCCAGCGGGAGCAACAATCGGGCGTAACCGGAGCCGCACGGGGCCGGCGGGAGGCTCAGGTGTCCCCCGGGGACAGCGGGGTCACCGCGCGGGGCTGGCGCGTCTGGGTGCCCGCGGGGCTGGGGGCGTCTGGATGGACACAGGATGGACACATCCATGGACACAGGGATGGACGCAGGGATGGACACAGGGATGGACCCAGGGATGGACACACAGATGGACACAGGGATGGACACATCCATGGACACAGGGATGGACACACAGACAGACACAGGGATGGACACAGGGATGGACACACGGACGGACACAGGGATGGACACAGGATGGACACGGGGATGGACACAGGATGGACACAGGATGGACACACAGATGGACACAGGGATGGATGGACACATCCATGGACACAGGGATGGACACATCCATGGACACAGGGATGGATATACAGATGGACACAGGATGGACATAGGGATGGACACATCCATGGACACAGGGATGGACAGAGGATGGACATAGGGATGGACACATCCATGGACACAGGGATGGACAGAGGATGGACATAGGGATGGACACAGGATGGACACAGGGATGGACAGAGGGATGGACACACGGCACCGCCAGCACGGCATCCCTGAGATCCTGTCACAGGGGCTGGGGGGTGGCACCAGCCAGAGCCTGACAGGGGTGGCACCCACAGACCCTTGGGATGGCACCCACAGACTCTTGGGGGTGGCACCCAGAGACCCCTGGGGTGGCACCCACAGAACCTTGGGGATGTCACCAAACAAAGCCTGATGGTGGTGGCACCCAGATCTTCATGGGGGTGATACCCAGGTCCCCACAGGGATGGCACCAAGCAGAGCCAGAGCCCAATGGAAATGGCACCCAAACCCCTTTGGGATGGCACCCAAAACTCCACAGGGAGAGCACCCAGATCTCCAGAGAGTCCTCGGAATTCCATGGGGATGGCAGCACCCAAAGCCCTGTGGGAACCCAGAAATCCACGGGCTGGCAGCCAGGACCCCGTGGGGCTGGCACCCCAAAATCCCTTAGGGTGGCACCCAGGGAAATGGCCCCAAAGCCCCTCTGGGGTGGCACCCAGAGCCCAATGGGAGTGACACCAAAATCCCATGGGAATGGCACCCAAAGCTCCTTGGGGACAACACCCAAAGCCCTGCAGTGGTAAAAGCCAGAGTGCCATGGGAATGTCACCCAAAGTGCCATGGGAACGTCACCTTGAACCCCACGGGAATGTCACCTGGAACCCCATGGGAATGTCACCCAGAGTCCCACGGGAATGTCACCTGGAGCCCCATGGGAATGTCACCCAGAGTCCCGTGGGAATGTCACCTGGAGCCCCATGGGAATGTCACCCAGAGTCTCACGGGAATGTCACCTTGAACCCCATGGGAATGTCACCTGGAACCCCACGGGAATGTCACCTGGAGCCCCATGGGAATGTCACCCAGAGTCTCACGGGAATGTCACCTTGAACCCCATGGGAATGTCACCTGGAACCCCACGGGAATGTCACCTGGAGCCCCATGGGAATGTCACCCAGAGTCTCACGGGAATGTCACCTGGAGCCCCATGGGAATGTCACCCAGAGCCCCATGTGGATGTCACCTGGAACCCCATGGGAATGTCACCCAGTGTCCCATGGGCATGTCACCTGGAGCCCCACAGGAATGTCACCTGGAGCCCATGGGAATGTCACCTGGAGCCCATGGGACTGTCATCTGGAGCCCCATGGGAATGTCACCCCACAGTGATGCTCCCAGAGCCCCTGAGGTGTCACCCACATGCCCGGGAGCCCCAGGCTGGGGGCTTTGCCCTTTGACCCTGTCACAGACCGGGCACGGTGACACCTCCAGGAGCAGCACCTGCCACCAGCTCTGTGTCCGTGTCCCCCCCATGTCACCCTAACACTGCCCCCCAAAGCACAGCCACACCCCTAGGGGGACAGCGGGGACAGAGCAGCCACGGGGACACTGCCGGGGGACAGGGGGACACCAGCACCGCGCCGGCTCTGCCCGGACTGGGAGGGCACTGGCGGGGCACGGGGGCCACCTGCCGGGCGGAGGGGACAGCGACAGTGCCACCCCCCTGGCCCTGGGAACCCCGAGGGAGGGGACACAGCCGGGGGGGCGGGACTGTCACCTGGAGTCCCATGGGAATGTCACCCAGAGTGCCATGGGAGTGTCGCCTGGAACCCCATGGGAATGTCACCTGGAGTCCCACGGGAATGTCACCCGGTATCCCATGGGAATGTCACCCCAAGTCCCATGGGAATGTCACCCGGTATCCCATGGGAATGTCACGGGGAGTCCCGTGGGAATGTCACCCAGAGTGCCATGGGACTGTCACCCGGTATCCCATGGGAATGTCACCCCAAGTCCTATGGGAATGTCGCAGGGGCACAGCCCGGGGACAGTTGGAGGTGGCCCGGGCGGGGACAGTGTCGCACCCCGCTGGCAGCAGGTGGCACTGGCGTGGCACAGAGCGTGTCCCCAGGCTGGTGACAAACAGCCCCGGGCTGGGGAGGAGGATGAGGAGGATGGAGAGGAAGGTCGGGCCAGGGCAGGTGAGCGGGGACAAGGGACGGGCCAGCCCTGCCACCTGCCCCAAACACCCCGAGCTGCTCCCGCGTTCCCTGCACGCGATCACCCAGCGAACAGCCCCTGTGCCTAATTAGCGCCGTTAATTAATGACCCACTCCGGGAACCCCGGACGGCCTCACCTGGGACAGCTCCAAGGACACCTCGGGATCCAAGGAATGGAGCAGGGGGTGCCTCGTGCTGCCTCATCCAGCCCCAAAATCATCCTAAAAACCCTAAACCTCAGCCTGGGGGCCGTGGCTGTGCCACAGGGATGGAGGGACATCATCACCTGAAGAGCTGCAAAAGGAATGGGTGAGGGTGGAGAAGACCTGCGGGACCTTCGGCCTCAGCACCATCACCTCCAGGTGGCCATTCCAGGCGGTGCCTCTGGAGCTGCTCTGGGACGCAGGGCCCAGGATGGAGCCCAGGATGGAGCCCAGGATGGAGCCCAGGATGGAGCCCAGGGCCGTCCCTGCAGCCCAAACACCAGGCACGTCCCAAGGTATGTACAGATTTTATTTAAAAAAAAAAGAAGTTTACATTTGAATTATACACAGCTATTGGAGAGGTTACACCCAGAGGAGAGGCAGCTGCGCCACTCTAGCAACCAACGCCAGGAAAAAAGAGGAGAAAAAAGGAAAAATAACACAAACTCAACTCAACCCAAGGGCAAAACCAGATCTCTGATGTGACAGATCTCTGCTCTCACCTGACAGGAACCCAGCACGGGGGGAATTGTGGCTGTGGCAAAGGGGCAGCAGGATGTGAAGAGGAGAAAAAAATGGGAAAAAAGGGATAAAATGAGAAAAAAATATAAAAGTGTGACAGATCTCCCAGGTGCAGGGAGGAGGGAAGGGGCACAGCTGAGGGATGGGCCAGGCTGTGGCACAGCTCTGCTCCCTGTGCCACCATCCCTGGCTGGGGACAGCGCCAGCCCTGGCTGGGGACAGCGGGGGCAGAGGGGCCTGGCAGTGCCCACCCGGCCTCTCCTTCCATGGAAACCTCGGGGGAGAGAGAGGAGAAACAGCGGGGGGAGAAGGCAAAGGCTGCCCCAAAGCAGCTCCAGGGCTGTGGCAAAGCTGGCAGCGGGGAGCCCATCCCAGGGTGACGCCACCACTGTGGGTGAAGGAGAAAATCACCCTGAAGATGGGAAAAAAGGATTGGAGATGATCAAATAAAGCTCTTACACCTTTCCATCCACATTAGGTGGGTGAAGTTTTACAGACATCTTTTTGTGGGAGGCAAAGATTATTCTGGGAGGAAAAGGGAGATTTGGGGTGAAAAGGGAAGAGGTGGGAAATGCAGGAGGGGAAGCAGCAGCGGGGTCTGAGGGGGGACAGGAGGGACCTCAGCCCACCCTGAGCACCCTCACCTTCACCCAGCTCCTTCACCTTCACCTTCACCTTCACCCAGCTCCTTCACCTTCACCTTCACCCAGCTCCTTCACCTTCACCCAGCTCCTTCACCTTCACCTTCACCTTCACCCAGCTCCTTCACCTTCACCTTCACCCAGCTCCTTCACCTTCACCCAGCTCCTTCACCTTCACCTTCACCTTCACCCAGCACCCTCACCTTCACCCAGCACCCTCACCTTCACCTTCACCTTCACCCAGCTCCTTCACCTTCACCCAGCTCCTTCACCTTCACCCAGCTCCTTCTCTCAGCACTTTTGGCACCTGGATTTCCCCCCCAGGACAAGAGCTGGGTTTGTCTCAGCCTGGGAAGTGCTGGCAATGTTCATTTTCGGGGCTGAGCCACCAGCCTGGAAAGCTCAGTGAATCCATCCATGTTGTGTCTCACACAACCAGCTGTGCTTCCCCAGTTTTTGGGAATTATTTTTTTTTTGGAATCCCAGCTTAGTGTTTCCCATCCAGCCCTAAATCCACGTGAGGGGAAAGATGGAGATGCAAAACCCTGCAAGGGAAGGGGGTGAGGGAATTAGAACACTATTTTTATACAATATTGAAAAAATACAAATTTTTATTGTGATTTCTTTTTTTTTTTTTTTTTTGGTTGCCTTTTTGTTTTTTTTTGTTCTGGTTTTTTTTTTGTGGTTTTTTTTTTTTCTCGTTTTTTGAAGCTTTTTAAACTGAAATCACCACCCAGCACTTGACTCTACTCCTAAGTAGCACCTACAAGTAAAGGTTTATAGCACAAGCAAAACTGCCAGGGCAGCAGGAAAGCGAATTCAACGTGGCCCCTCCCTCCCCAAATTAATGAGCAAACAACGTGCTAGATAAGAGTTAATTACATCATTACATGTTAAATAATTAATATTACCCTCCAACAAGCCACAAATGCTAGATAGAGAACTTCAGCACAGAACTAGCCACAGCCCTACACCACTGCTGGGAGGATGGGGAGGAGGAGGAGGAGGAGGAGGAGAGGGAAATCCTTTGCTTCGTGCCCGGAATTAACAGAAAGGAAATTCATGGTAGGATTTTTATTAAGGAAATTCATGCCAAAGCCAAGTGGGACTTGATGGAGTTTTTTTTGTTTTTCTCCCCCAAAAGCAACAGAAATAAAAGGAACTGATTGTGCTTTATGAATCGGAGGTGGGGCTGGGCTCTGCCGGCCCCAGCTCGGTGGAGTCTCAAAGGAAAAGGAAACAAAGGCCAAGAATTCTGGGGAAATGGCAAATGTACCAGTCTGACATTCAACACTCTGCTCCAGAGTCGCTCAGGGTGGGTTGATTTCTTCCTGCAGGTCGCATCACAAACGAAAAGATCTTGTCCAAACCCCTCCAAAAATCCCCAAAAGAAAACAGCAGGTAACATTCAGCTTTAAAAATCCATCTCAGCTTGAAGCTCCGACGCACAATTATCCCAATTCAAGTATCCCAAGGAGACATTTACTTATCAGATTTCTAGGAACAACAGCAAAAAAAAAAATTAAAAATCTCTCAGTTTGCTGCAAGACACCAGGAGAAATCCAACATTCCAATTCCCAAACATCCTGGAAAAAAACCCCAAAAAACAACAACAAAAAAAAACTAAAAAAGAAAACCAAACCAACCAACGAAAAACCAAAGAGTGAATTCATTTGCTTCCTCAATCGGTGCTTTTTAGGCTTTTTTTTTTTTTATTCAGCTCAAATTTTGAATTTTGTGTGGTGTTTTTCCCTAGATATTTTTCTTTGTTAACTCTTAAGGAATTTTTATCCTGTTGTACACACACAAGCAGATGGGAACCAAGCTGGTGCAGAAGGGGGGAGGAAAGAAAGATTTAAAAAGAGACAAAAAAAAAAAAAAACCAAAAAGGAAAACGCAAATCGGTGCCGATGGATTCGTGGGCTTGGGCCAACGGGACAATTCCGTGGAGCTGCAGCTCTGGCAAGGCCAATCCATCTGGTCAGAGGAGAATTCCCAGGACACAGCCAGGTCTGTCAGGCATCTGAACCACACTTCCAGCACAAGAGGGAGGGGGGAAAAGAAAGGAAGGAAAAAAAAAACCCCAAAAATGACAAAGCCAAGCGGGAGCCGTGAAGGGCAGCAGGTTCCAGAGGGGCAGAGCAAGGAGGAGTTGGGCTCCGGGCGCATCCCAGCTCCAGGAGCTTCCTCCTCATCCGTGGTGCTTCTGGGAGGTTCTTCCCTCCCAGGCAGGGAGCAGGAGCCCCCCCAGCCTCTCCAAGGCCCCGGGGGCAGCAGGGCAGCTCGGTGCCCACGGCCCCGGGGGCAGCGGGGCAGCTCGGTGCCCGCGGGCCGGGGGCAGCGGGGCAGCTCGGTGCCCGCGGGCCGGGGGCAGCGGGGCAGCTCGGTGCCCACAGTGCCGGGGGCAGCAGGGCAGCTCGGTGCCCACAGCCCCGGGGGCAGCGGGGCAGCTCGGTGCCCACAGCCCCGGGGGCAGCAGGGCAGCTCGGTGCCCGCGGCGCCGGGGGCAGCGGGGCAGCTCGGTGCCCGCGGGCCGGGGGCAGCAGGGCAGCTCGGTGCCCACAGCCCCGGGGGCAGCGGGGCAGCTCGGTGCCCGCGGCGCCGGGGGCAGCGGGGCAGCTCGGTGCCCACAGTGCCGGGGGCAGCGGGGCAGCTCGGTGCCCACAGCCCTGGGGGCAGCAGGGCAGCTCGGTGCCCACAGCCCCGGGGGCAGCAGGGCAGCTCGGTGCCCGCGGCTCGGGAGGGCAGGGGATCCACGGCTGGAATCCCCAGCAGGAGCCTCTGCAGGGCTCCAGGGCTGCACGCCCTGCACGGGGCTGCTCTGAGCTCAGGCCCTCTGGCTCGTTCTCCAAACACAGCCTGGGGGAGCCCCTAAAGCCCTGCACCCCAAGGGCTGGACCTGGAGGGAACACCAACACCTCAGGTGGAACACCAACATCTGAGGTGGGAACACCAACATCTGAGGTGGGAACACCAACGTCTGAGGTGGGAACACCAACGTCTGAGGTGGGAACACCAACATCTGAGGTGGGAACACCAACGTCTGAGGTGGGAACACCGTCTGAGGTGGAATCACCAACGTCTGAGGTGGGAACACCAACACCTCAGGTGGAATCACCAACGTCTGAGGTGGGAACACCAACGTCTGAGGTGGGAACACCAACACCTCAGGTGGAATCACCAACACCTCAGGTGGAATCACCAACATCTGAGGTGGGAACACCAACATCTGAGGTGGGAACACCGTCTGAGGTGGAATCACCAACGTCTGAGGTGGGAACACCAACACCTCAGGTGGAATCACCAACGTCTGAGGTGGGAACACCAACGTCTGAGGTGGGAACACCAACACCTCAGGTGGAATCACCAACACCTCAGGTGGAATCACCAACATCTGAGGTAGGAACACCAACGTCTGAGGTGGGAACACCAACGTCTGAGGTGGGAACACCAACACCTCAGGTGGAACACCATTACCTCAGGTGGAATCACCAACATCTGAGGTGGCAACACCAACACCTCAGGAGGGAACACCAACATCTGAGGTGGGAACACCAACATCTGAGGTAGGAACACCAACATCTCAGGTGGCAACACCAACACCTCAGGTAGAACACCAACACCTCAGGTGGGAACACCGACACCTCAGGTGGGAACCTCGAGCCGACACCAAATCCTTCTCTTTTTTCTACCCTTTGTTTGGATTTTGGGGTTTTTTTGCTGATTCCCTCCCTCCCAGGGCAGCTGTTTGGTAGCACACCAAAGCTGACTTGGCCAAATGGAAAATCTCAAGGCATGCATCCTGCATATTGCTACCAGAATGGAATGTTGGGAATGCTCTAACGCACCTCGGGAACCGGGACATGACCGAGAAAATCAAGACCTAAAGGGTGATATATATATATATTTATATATAAACACACACATATATATAAATATATATATATAGCTCAATGCTAGAATTCATAAAAACCTTGTTTAGTAATAAAAAAAATTGCTTTGTTTAAATATGAATATTATAGTCTGCTTCTCATGGTTAGGAAATTAGAGTCTCTCTGAAAAGCAGGCGCCTCCTCTACTACAACTCCATGTCCTGAGCCTCGTCTTCAGAGAAGTCAGACATGGAGCTCTCGGACGAGCTGTCCCCGGTGCCTTCTTCCTGCTCTTTTAGTGCTTCTTCTGTTGCATATTTCTGGATGTATTCTGGAGGGGAGGGGAAAAAAGCAAAAAATGGGAAAATTAGGGATGGGTAATCAGCAGCTGTGGGAGGTTGGATAAATCAGAGAAATGATTTCTTATAGAATTGTTGTAAAATAAATATCTATATCTATATCTATATCTATATCTATATCTATATCTATAATATGTATAGATATGTATGTATTATATAGTGTATAATATGTATAAAGTATATATATTATATACTTTATACATATTGTACACTATAGAATATGTATAAAGTATATAATATATATTTAAATATATGAATATATATATTAAATATGTTTATCTTGTAAAATATAATTGTGAATAAAAAGGATCATGAAATAGGATAAATGACCATAAATATAAGAAAAATTAATACTGATAAATCATGGAAGTATATAAATGATAAATTGCATATTTCATAAATCGGATAAATTATTTCTTATAGAATTGTTTTAAAATAAATATCTATATATCTATATCTATATGTATATCTATATGTATAAAGTATATAATAGATATTTAAATATATAAATATATATATATAATATATGTTTATGTTGTAAAATATAATTGTGAATAAAAATTATCATGAAATAGGATAAATTACTATAAATTATCACAAAAAAGTAATAATGATAAGTCATGGAAGTATATAAATTATAAATGGCATATTTAATCAATCAGATAAATGATTTCTTATAGAATTGTTGTAAAGTATATATATAAAAGAAAATATATGTATAAAATATATAATATATATTTAAATATATATAAATATATATATTCGTGTAATAATATATATTTATGCTGTAAAATATAATTGTGAATAGAAATTATCATGAAATAGGATAAATGACCATAAATATAAGAAAAATTAATACTGATAAATCATGGGAGTATATAAATGATAAATGGTATATTTAATAAATCAGATGATTTCTTATAGATTTGTTGTAAAATATATATATAAAATAAAATATATGTATACAAATATATCTAATATATATTTAAATATATATAAATATATATATTTATAGATAATATATTATATATATTTATGTTGTAAAATATAATTGTGAATAAAAATATTATGAAATATTATAAACGACCATAAATAATCACAAAAATTAATACTGATAAATCATGTAAGTATATAAATTATAAATGGCATATTTGACAAATCAGATAAATGATTTCTTATAGAATCAATAATGTAAAATATAATTGTGAATAAAAATTATCACGAAATAGGATAAATGACCACAAATTATCACAAAAATTAATAATGATAAGTCATGTAAGTGTATAAGTTATAAATGGCATGTTTGATAAATCAGATAAATGATTTCTTGTAAAATTGATAATATAAAATATGATTGTGAATAAAAATTATAAAAATTATTATGAAATAGGATAAATGACCATAAATTATCACCAAGATTAATACTGATAAATCATGTAAGTATATAAAGTATAAATGGCATGTTTGATAAATCAGATAAATGATTTCTTATAGAATTGTTGTAAAATATAACTGTGAATAAAATTATAAAAATATTATGAAACAGGATAAATGACCATAAATTATCACAAAAACTAATACTGATAAATCGTGTAATATATAAATTATAAATGGCATATTTGATAATTAAGGTAAATGGCTTCTCGTAAAACTGATAACGTAAAATAGAACTGAATAAAAATGATAAAAATTATCGTGAAATAGGATAAATGATCACAAAAATTAATACTGACAAATGATACAAGTACATAAATTATAGATGATCCCACAGCCCAGAGCAGCTGTGGCTGCCCCATCCTCAGGAGTGTCCCAGGCCAGGGCTGGTGACGATTCCCTGGGAACTGGGATGCTTTTTAAGGTCCCTTCTGACCCAAACACTCCAAGGCTCTGTGGCACGTCCTAGAGGTGGCTGTGCCTCCCCAGAGCTTCCCAAGAACTCATCTCCCTCTGGAAAAAGGGGAATCTCAAAGAAGTTGTTGTTGAATCCCAAATATTATTCCAAATATACACCTAAACTGCCTGGCAGCAGCTCTGGGAGCTTGCAGGCACTGCAGGCACCAGGCAGGACAGGAGGACAGCAGCTCCTCCTCCCTGCTGCTCCAGGGACATTCCCACCTGGAAGCTGCTGCCTCCTCCAGCCTCAGCTGAAACTTGGGCCCTTCAAGCTTCAAATGCCACTTTTTATTAATCCAGGAAAGCTCCTGGGCTGGGTTTATTGGAAGGTTAACCCAGGAAAAGTGAAATTTCCAGGGAGTTTCCATGCTGAGTGCCACATTGATTGGGATTTGTGATGGGATTTGTGTTGGGATTTTCAGTCAAGGGAAAAAAAAAACCCAAAATATCTAAAAGGGTGTTCAGGAAGGGGAAGCCTCATGGCACCAATTCCTGCCAGGAAAACCCCTCTGGGTTCCTGTGTCACAGAGCCTGGAGCAGCAGGACAAGCTCAGCTCACACCCCGAGGGATCCCACTGCAATTCCAGACACCTGGGGTGGGACAAGTGACCCAGAGGAAAGAAAGATTTAAAAAGAGACAAAAAAAAAAAAAAAACCAAAAGGAAAATGCAAGTCGGTGCCGATGGATTCGTGGACTATCAATTCCAGACATCTGGAGTAGGAAAAGTGACCCAGAGATGTCCTGAGCTCCAGCAGAAACTCAGCCTGGACATCCCCAGCTGTTCCTCACCCTCCCAAGGGAGATTCCCTAAGAAATCTCCCAGAGAAGAGGAGGAATTACAAATTTTGGGGCACCTCTGTGCCCGTGCCCCTCCCCATGCCCCAGGAACATTCCCTGTGCTCCCAGCGATGAAATCACCAGGAGCAGCAGCAATGAATAAAATATTGGATTTGCACTCCCAGGGCTGCCAGGATCCTCTGCAGCACTTTTAACACGTCCAAGGTTATTTTTTGGAACAGGGGATGGCAGAGTTTTTATCTCCATCCCATCCCTGTCACGCAATCCTGGCAGGAGCTGCTGCACTCTGGGATTTCTGGAATGTTCCAGGCACTCCCAACTCCTTCCAGATCATCTGTACCTGGCTGCAGGGGGGAAATGAGGGAGCAGGTTTTCCCTTCATCCCCAGGATGCCCTCAGAGCCTCCTTTGGTGAAATCTGTTTTCCTGGCTTTTTTCCAAGGGTATTTTTGGGTTCTGGGCTGCTTTCATGAAAGCCCAGAGGACTCTCAGTGCTGGCACTGGAGATTTTATCTGACAAATTATTGTTTTGGATGCAATTTTTTTGCCCTTCCCTGGTATAAAAAAGCAGGGAATGGACTTTGGGATTCTGAGCAGGGCAGATCTGCAGGAAGTCCCCACAATCCTGTCAGAGCAATCAGCCAAGGGAGGCTGAATAATTCAATATTTAAATCAAATTTTGAGAGTTCTACCCTCAAAAATCAGGAACTTCACAGCAGGATTTTAACTCCTGGGTGATGTGGCAGAGCTGATCCCAGCTTCTGGGATTCCTGAGCTTCCCCAGTTTCCTCACCCCTCCCTCCTTCACATCATCCCATGGAAGGGGAAAAACCCCTCAGAACCTGCAGCCAAGAGCCATCGTTGCCTCGGGATGGAATCCCAATTAACGGTGCTAATTAGGCCTCACCTTTAATTTTCTGTTTGTACTCTTCTGGTCGGTGGAGGTACATGGCTGCAGCGTCCCCATTGAGAGGATCGATGGGGTTGGGATAGGCCAGCAGCTGGGGCAGGAACGACTCAAAAATGTTGGTGAGATCTGCAAGGCAAACACAACCCTGGTGTCAGCGTCCCCAGGACAGAGCCACCCCAAAAATCCACCCTGGAACACCCAGGCAGCAGCAAAACTCTAGGGAAACACCCTGGGAATGAGGGGAAATAAGGGGAGGAAAATCAAAAAGGAAAATAAAGGGAGGAAAATCAAAAAGGAAAATAAAGGGAGGAAAATCAAAAAGGAAAGTAAAGGTTGATGGAATTAAAAATGAAAATAAAGGGAGGAAAACCAAAAATGAAAATAAAGGGAGGAAAATCAAAAATGAAAATAAAGGTTCATGAAATTAAAAATGAAAATAAAGGGAGGAAAATCAAAAATGAAAATAAAGGTTCATGGAATTAAAAATGAAAATAAAGGGAGGAAAATCAAAAATGAAAATAAAGGGAGGAAAATCAAAAATGAAAATGAAGGGAGGAAAACCAAAAATGAAAATAAAGGGAGGAAAATCAAAAATGAAAATAAAGGTTAATGGAATTAAAAATGAAAATAAAGGGAGGAAAACCAAAAATGAAAATAAAGGTTGATGGAATTAAAAATGAAAATAAAGGGAGGAAAATCAAAAATGAAAATAAAGGTTGATGGAATTAAAATCAAGGTTGATGGAATTAAAAATGAAAACAAAGCTGATGCTGCAGCTCCTCACAGCTCCTCATCCCTACACACACATGCTGATACCCACGGATGGTGCTGATCCCGACCCTAAATCCTGCCTGGATCTTTGGGGAAAACCAAATAAAGGGTGGGGAACAGACTGGGAATGAAACATCCCTTCCCTGACACTGCAGGAACATCCTCTCCCTGCATTCATTCCCAGGGATTCACCCCCAGCCCCATTCCATGCACACAAACTGCCCCGGCCAAGAGCAGCTCCATGGAAATTCTCCTTTTTCCTGCCCCAGGAATAGGCACAATTCTCTGCTCCTTTACCTGAAGTGTAAATTCTCCTGTGCCAATGAAAATAAAACTCACAAACTCCTCACGCTGATATCCATGGGTTAAGCAAGGAAGGGGATGGAATTTTCCTGATTTTTAATCCTGGCTGGAAAAATTAGGAAAAACCCCAACAAACAGCGCTGTGCTTTGCCCTCCCCTGGATTCTTTACCCCTTCCAATCCTATTTAAAAATGGAAGTTCTCTGCCCATGGAGCAGGGCTGGAGCTCAGCCTCTGAGGGGCTTCCAGCCCAAACCATTCCCTGGGAAGCACAAAGCTCTTCCAGAGCTTTCCATGATCTGGTTAACAGCAACCAGCACTAAAAATTAAACAATTAAACAATTAAACAATTCAGGGGATGTGCAGAGCTCCAGGAACTCCTCAGTGCCAGCAGGAATCTGTCACCAAATAATCCACAGCAGGGAACTGCCCACGAGTGCACAAAGCCCTCTGGGGAACCCCCAACTCCCCATTCTGGATTTGGGGATGGGCAGGAACCAGCCCTGAGCCATCATCCCTCCTTGGAAATGCTCCTGGTGTGGGGGATTCCTGTGGGAATGTTCTGGAAATCTCTGATCTGTCTCTGTTCCCTCGTGGCAGGGAAATCCTGGGGGTGAGCATCACCAGTGTGGCCACCTCCCCTGTCCCTGCTCCTGGAAAAAAGCTGGATCCCATCCCTGAGCCACCACAGAGCCGCTGAATTCCATCCCAGAGCCCTCAACTTCCCCAGAATTCCCCAAAAATGGGGAAGGAGATCTCCAGGTGCTGTCCCTGTGCAAAGAGCTCCTCCAGCTCTGGGATGCAGCCACACAATTCCAGCTCCAGCTCTGGGTGAGGTGTCCGGGTTTGACAGGAGCTCCTGGGATGGAGCAAAGCAGCACCTGGAGAAAGGATCTGAACCCCAAAAAGGATCCCAGGAGCAGCAGGAGGGCTCTGGGTGGGAATTCCCTGGATCTGAACCCCCCAAAAAGGACCCCAGGAAAGAGCATTCCCTGGGTCTGAACCCCAAAAGGGATCCCAGGAAAGAGCAGGAGTGCTCTGGGTTTGCATTCCCTGGATCTGAACCCCAAAAACGAACCCAGGAAACAGCAGGAGTGCTCTGGGTGGGAATTCCCTGCCCTGGATAAAGGATCTGAACCCCAAAAAGGACCCCAGGAGCAGCAGGAGTGCTCTGGGTTTGCATTCCCTGGATCTGAACCCCAAAAGGATCCCAGGAGCAGCAGGAGTGCTCTGGGTGGGAATTCCCTGGATCTGAACCCCAAAAGGACCCCAGGAGCAGCAGGAGGGCTCTGGGTTTGCATTCCCTGGATCTGAACCCCAAAAGGACCCCAGGAGCAGCAGGAGTGCTCTGGGTTTGCATTCCCTGGATCTGAACCCCAAAAGGGATCCCAGGAGCAGCAGGAGTGCTCTGGGTTTGCATTCCCTGGATCTGAACCCCAAAAGGACCCCAGGAGCAGCAGGAGTGCTCTGGGTTTGCATTCCCCGGATCTGAACCCCAAAAGGACCCCAGGAGCAGCAGGAGTGCTCTGGGTTTGCATTCCCCGGATCTGAACCCCAAAAGGGATCCCAGGAGCAGCAGGAGTGCTCTGGGTTTGCATTCCCTGGATCTGAACCCCAAAAGGGATCCCAGGAGCAGCAGGAGTGCTCTGGGTTTGCATTCCCTGGATCTGAACCCCAAAAGGACCCCAGGAGCAGCAGGAGGGCTCTGGGTTTGCATTCCCTGGATCTGAACCCCAAAAAGGACCCCAGGAGCAGCAGGAGGGCTCTGGGTTTGCATTCCCTGGATCTGAACCCCAAAAGGACCCCAGGAGCAGCAGGAGTGCTCTGGGTTTGCATTCCCTGGATCTGAACCCCAAAAGGACCCCAGGAGCAGCAGGAGTGCTCTGGGTTTGCATTCCCCGGATCTGAACCCCAAAAGGACCCCAGGAGCAGCAGGAGTGCTCTGGGTTTGCATTCCCCGGATCTGAACCCCAAAAGGGATCCCAGGAGCAGCAGGAGTGCTCTGGGTTTGCATTCCCTGGATCTGAACCCCAAAAGGGATCCCAGGAGCAGCAGGAGTGCTCTGGGTTTGCATTCCCTGGATCTGAACCCCAAAAGGACCCCAGGAGCAGCAGGAGTGCTCTGGGTTTGCATTCCCTGGATCTGAACCCCAAAAGGGATCCCAGGAGCAGCAGGAGTGCTCTGGGTTTGCATTCCCTGGATCTGAACCCCAAAAGGACCCCAGGAGCAGCAGGAGGGCTCTGGGTTTGCATTCCCTGGATCTGAACCCCAAAAGGGTCCCAGGCCTGAGGGCTCCTGAGGCTGAGGCAGCAGAGCCCTGAATCCCCTGTGCTCACAGGACACCCAGAAAATGAGTTTTTCCCAAAGGAACCTCTCTCAAACCCCCAAATGTGGTTCCCATGTCCCAGCAGAAGGTGCCCACACCCGAATCAAGAGATAAATTTTATTATCCAGCTGGTTGTGCAGGAATTTCACCCCCAGCACCGAGGAGCTGCTGCCTCCCCAGGGATGAGCAGGAATTGAAGGTGCTCAGGAATTTTTTGTGGATATTCCAGGTTTCTCCCACCTTGGCTGCTGCTGGAATTATCTCACCCAGACCCTTTGCCAGCTCTGCTTTAAAGGAATTGAAAAATTCCTTTTTTAAAGGCAAAAAGGAAAGGAATCATTCCCCCTTTTCCATTTCTTTGTGAGGTGGGGTTGGAATCTTGGAGCACAAAACCACTGGAATTATTGATTTTTATCCTTTTTGTGGAGAAGCCAATCTCCCACAGCAAATCCATGCTGTGATCCTCACCCTGCACCACGTGGCAATTCCAGAATTCCAACCAGGAATTCCAGCTAAAATCAGTTTTCCAGGGAAGAACCTGAAGGATTTGATGTCCACACTCCCCTGGATTCCTTCCACAAAGCAAACCTGGAATATCTGAAATTCCTATTTTTAAATAGAGACTCAGCTGTGTTCCTTCTAGCAATTCCAGCTTTAAGTTCTATTTTAAATTGATTTGGTTTTTAAATTGACCTGGGGCACTGTGGTAAAAGTTTATCCCTAAAAAGTAGATTTATCCCTAAAAAGCAGATTTTTAACCAGAAATGAGCCCATGGAAAGCACTCTGCAGCATCAGAGGCAACACCACCTCCTAACCTGCAAAAAATCTTATTTTTCTCAAGATCTTGGCTCAGGGAGGAGTTTCAAATTCAGTAAAAAAACCCAAAATCAAAGGAAAAAAACCTCCAAAAATGCCAGAAATCATCAGGAAAACGCCCAACTCACCGTAGAGAGCTGTCCAAGTTTGATTGATTACATCTAGACATACAGTTCCTGACCTGGAACACATGGAAAAAATGGAATTAACACTGCAAAAACACTGTGGGAACTGATAAAACTCCTCCCCAGCCCTTCCCCAGGGTTTGGGATAAACCCTGATTTATTCCTATTTATGGCCTTTAACCACCTCCATCTTCCCACTCTGCCCAGGAGAAAATAAATGGGAATTTTACTGCCAGGGAAGCTCCACACAGCCAAGAAATGATGGGAAATATTTGAGATTTTGGAGGATTTTCTGCAAAGATGAAGGAAGGATTCACTCACGCTTCGTCAATGTTGGGATGGAAGATTTTATTCATGAATCCTGCAAGGAGAAACAGAGGGAAATCAGCAAAAAAACCACAAAAATTCTTTTTTTTTACATGAAAAGTCTGGAATTTATGGAACAAGGACCCAGAGCCATCCCAGCCATAAATAACCTTTAAAATGGTTATTTTAAATATTTTTAAATTTAAAATAAGCAGGCACCATTCCCACCCAGGGGTCCAAATTCCAGGGAATTCTGGAGGCAGGAAATTCAGGAAAAATCTGCAGTGCAACCACAAAGCTTTTGTTGGATCCTGAAAATTCCTGCCCAGGAGCCCAGATTTTAGCTCAACATTTGATTTTAAAATAACTTTTATATCTATTTTCTATATATGATATAGATACGTGTGTATAAATATATGTGTATATATACATATTTTTCCCAATGTAGATTTTCTATAAGCTTGTTATCACAACATTAATCTACAATTATGAGCCAGGGAGATAATAATTGAAATTTTCCATCAATACAGCAATTAATTATATATATAATATATAGAAAAAATATAAAATATATATTATATATAAATATTTTTAATATATATAATATATTTTTTTCCCAAAATAAATTTTCTATAAGCTTGTTATCACAACATTAATCTACAATTATGAGCCAGAGAGGTAATAATTGAAATTTTCCATCAATACAACAATTAATTCTCCTGTTGGTGCCTTTGGTCTCCTAAAAAACAGGTTTAGGAGGAGGGAGCTCAGTGTGGCTTTGTCCACATTTGAGAGGGATTTTTTTTTTGTTCTGAGTTGCAAATTAAATTGTGAAATAAATAAAATAAATTTTGAAATAAAAAATTAAATTAATTTATTTTGAATTTTTTTTTTATTTTGAATAAAAAAATTTAATCAGAATAAATTTGGAAATGCTTTCAAGCCTGACAACATCCCCCACACTTTTCCCTATTGTGTCACCTTTTGAATTGAGCATTTGCCATAAATCCTCCTTTTCCCTGTTGTGCCCCCATCCCACAACCCAAAAATCCCAACCACCCCAGCCCAGGTGGGAATTCCCTGAATCCTGCAGGAATCCCTTCAAACCAACAGCAACCATTGCTCGTGACAGGGATAAAAGCAGGGAGGAAATCCAGGGCTGGGATATTCACTCCATCCATGGAGAAATCTCCTTCCAGGACCCAAAAAACCTGCAAGTTTTCTTTTCAGAGCAGCCAAAAAAAGGCTAAAAAAATCCATATTTAACCATTTAAATGCTGCCAAGCTCCCCCAGCTTCATGTAACGCTTCAGGGGAGGCACTGGGGTGTCCCCCTGCCCAAAGGAGCCCAGCTGGGGCTGAAATCCCTCCTTATTTCCCAGGAACTGGGACACAAACAGAATTCCAGCCTTGCTTGGACTGGGGAATTCTGCACAAACCCAAACCCAAAGCTGAGACAACACTCAAAGCCAGAACAAGCTCCAAGAGAAAGGAGAACTCCAAACACCCCCACGCTGCCAAGGGAATTTTCCAGGTATTAGGGTGGGAATCTTCCAAGTTTCCCAAATTATTGAGCTATTGGGGTGGGAATCTTCCACATTTCCCAATTATCCAGGTATTGGGATGGGAATCTTCCCCATTCCCAAGGTATTAGGGTGGGAATCTTCCACATTCCCAAGGTATTAGGGTGGGAATCTTCCACATTTCCCAATTATCAAGGTATTAGGTTGGGAATCTTCCACATTTCCTAATTATCCAGGTATTGGGATGGGAATCTTCTCCATTCCCAAGGTATTAGGATGGGAACCTTCCACATTTCCCAATTATCCAGGTATTGGGATGGGAATCTTCTCCATTCCCAAGGTATTAGGGTGGGAATCTTCCACATTTCCCAATTATCAAGGTATTAGGTTGGGAATCTTCCACATTTCCCAATTATCGAGGTATTAGGGTGAGAATCTTCCAAGTTTCCCAAATTATTGAGCTATTGGGGTGGGAATCTTCCACATTTCCCAATTATCAAGGTATTAGGGTGGGAATCTTCCACATTTCCTAATTATCCAGGTATTGGGATGGGAATCTTCCCCATTCCCAAGGTATTAGGATAGGAACCTTCCACATTTCCCAATTATCGAGGTATTGAGGTGGAAATCTTCCATATTTTCCAGCAGATTCACCCAGGGAAGCTGCAGTTCCATCAAATATTTACGTTCTGCAGCTCCCACAGGTTTAAATCAGGTCATGGATCCATTTTTGCTGGAGCCAGCGCCGATCCCGACCCCAAATCCTGCCTGGGTCCTTGGGGGAAAGCAAATAAAGGGTGGAGAGGGTGGGGAACACACTGGGAATAAAAAACCAACCCTGATAGCCGGATAATCGGGGAATGTGGGAGATTCCCACCCCAATAGCTCAATAATTTGGGAAACCTGGAAGACTGCCACCCTAATGCCTGGATAACTTGGGAATGTGCAAAATTCCCACTCTAATACCTGGGTAACCTGGAAATGGGGAAGATTCCCACCCTAACACCTGGAAAATATGGAAGATTCCCACCTCAACACCTGGATAATTGGGAAATGTCGAAGATTCCCATCCTAATACCTTGGGAATGGGGAAGATTCCCATCCCAATACCTGGATGATTAGGAAATGTGGAAGATTTCTACCCTAATACCTTGATAATTGGGAAATGTGGAAGAATCCCAACCTAATACCTTGGGAATGTGGGAGATTCTCACCCCAATATCTCAATAATTGGGGAATGTGGAAGATTGCCACCCCAATAGCTCAATAATTTGGGAAACCTGGAAGATTGCCACCCTAACACCTGGAAAATATGGAAGATTCCCACCTCAATACCTGGATGATTGGGAATGTGGAAGATTCCCATCCCAATACCTCAATAATTTGGGAAACCTGGAAGACTGCCATCCTAATGCCTGGATAACTTGGGAATGTGCAAAATTCCCACTCTAATACCTGGCTAACCTGGAAATGGGGAAGATTCCCATCCTAATACCTGGAAAATATGGAAGATTCCCACCCTAATACCTTGGGAATGGGGAAGATTCCCATCCCAATACCTTGATAATTGGGAAATGTGGAAGATTCCCAACCTAATACCTTGGGAATGTGGGAGATTCCCACCCCAGTATCTCAATAATTGGGGAACGTGGGAGATTCCCACCCCAATAGCTCAGTAATTTGGGAAACCTGGAAGATTCGCACCCTAACACCTGGAAAATATGGAAGATTCCCACCTCAATACCTGGATGATTGGGAATGTGGGAGATTCTCACCCCAATAGCTCAATAATTTGGGAAACCTGGAAGACTGCCATCCTAATGCCTGGATAACTTGGGAATGTGCAAAATTGCCACTCTAATACCTGGGTAACCTGGAAATGGGGAAGATTCCCATCCTAATACCTGGGAAACCTGGAAGATTCCCACCTCAATACCTGGATAACCTGGAAATGGGGAAGATTCCCACCCTAATACCTTGGGAATGTGGAAGATTCCCACTCCAATACCTGGATAATTAGGAAATGGGGAAGATTCCCACGCCAATACCTCAATAATTGGGAAATGTGGGAGATCCCCACCCCAATATCTGAATAATTTGGGAAACCTGGAAGAATCCCACCCTAATACCTGGGAAACATGGAAGATTCCCACCCCAATAACTGGATAATTGGCAAATGTGGGAGATTCTCACCCTAATACCTGGATAACTTGTGAATGTGGAAGATTCCCACCCCAACTCCTGGATAACTTGGGAATATGGAAGATTCCCCTCCTAATACCTCGATAATTGGGAAATGTGGGAGATTCCCACCCCAATATCTCAATAATTTGGGAAACCTGGAAGACTGCCACCCTAATGCCTGGATAACTTGGGAATGTGCAAAATTGCCACTCTAATACCTGGGTAACCTGGAAATGGGGAAGATTCCCACCCTAACACCTGGAAAATATGGAAGATTCCCACCTCAACACCTGGATAATTGGGAAATGTGGAAGATTCCCATCCTAATACCTTGGGAATGGGGAAGATTCCCATCCCAATACCTGGATAATTGGGAAATGTGGAAGAATCCCAACCTAATACCTTGGGAATGTGGGAGATTCTCACCCCAGTATCTCAATAATTGGGGAATGTGGAAGATTCCCACCCCAATAGCTCAATAATTTGGGAAACCTGGAAGATTGCCACCCTAACACCTGGAAAATATGGAAGATTCCCACCTCAATACCTGGATGATTGGGAATGTGGAAGATTCCCATCCCAATACCTCAATAATTTGGGAAACCTGGAAGACTGCCATCCTAATGCCTGGATAACTTGGGAATGTGCAAAATTCCCACTCTAATACCTGGATAACCTGGAAATGGGGAAGATTCCCATCCTAATACCTGGAAAATATGGAAGATTCCCACCCCAATACCTGGATAATTGGGAATGTGGAAGATTCCCACCTCAACACCTGGATAATTGGGAATGTGGAAGATTCCCACCCCAATACCTGGGAAACATGGAAATGTGGAAGATTCCCACCCAAATACTTGGATAATTGGGAAATGTGGGAGATTCCCACAACAATAAATGAAGCACAAGCCAGGAGAAATCTGTGAAATCCTGGCTGGAATTCAATGAAATTTCAAAAAAAAAAAAAAAGAAATTAAATCCAGCTGCATTCCTGCACCAGCTGCCACAACGCCTCATTCTACACATTCTATATATTTATACATATATATATATTTTTTTTAATCTATATATTTATATATTCCATATGTTCTGTGCACACACCAGATGCTTTGTTTGGGAAAACACTTGGAAAAAAGGGAAAATAGAAATACAAGGGAAAATAGAAATATCTGCACCTGCAGGAACTGGGACAGAGATGGAGGAAAATGAGAGCTGGGTGTGAAGATATAGAAAATATAATAATGCAAGTAATATAATATAGAAATAAAGATATTAAAATTATAAATATTGCTAGATTTATAAATATAGAGAAAAATTATAAATATATACAATTTATAGAGAGATTTTTA